AGAACATACATTATAAAAAAGCAGGGAAGGTATAGGATTTCTGAAAGACCAGAGAAACCTTGCTATTGCATCAACAAAACATGGTGCCCTAACAGTGGCTGAAATCAAATGCTCTTTGCATCACAAACATTCATAGCAGTACCTAAAACTTTGTAGAAAATAAAGCCATTCAATAATAGAGTCAACAATTCAAGCTGCCTTCCTGTTGAACTAACCAACCTTGCTTTTTATTTAACACTCTTCTCACGCTATTATTCGTAACCACATGCGCTGTCATTGACACTCTCATAGGTCATCATACTCACACACACCGTTATGCCTTTTCAGACACAAAATACTACTTTGCTCAACTACAAGCACTATCATAATTGATCACATATGCAATTATTATCTCACATAAATCATCGCACTTTGATCCATGCCCTTTATTTACTTTTGTCATTCGGTCTTACATGCTCCACTTCTCATGTCAGTCATTCATGTGCTTTTTGGTCTTTTCAAAAGAGAGAAGACACAGCCCACCCTTCTCTGGGTTATTGCCTTTGTTAAATGTCATTAAATATGGACCAATGCAACATTTCCTGTGTCATAACAAATCTAATTGTGAAACAAGTTGTCCTTCTGCAAGACCTTTGCCCATTTTATTTAATGTTGGTCCAGTAGAATCATAGTAAATCCACGTAACAAAACACGTTTACTTTAGTTCAGTTTAGTGTAATTATCCTAGGGGAAACATTGGGTCGAGTATCATCTCAAAAAACAAATGTAATGAAATGTCCATCAGCTAACTTGGGATTTAGCCTTCCAGGAGGGAGTGCAAAAACATTTAATTGTATGGAGGTTGTTGGTGCAAATTAATCAAGAATTATTGTTTTACTGCCAACTTTGTTTTGCATGCATTGCATAATCAATCAACAACCATTCTTTCCTAGTCCAAATGATAGTTATCTGTAGACGAGTCAGTTATCCCTCCTTTGTATTGGAACCCTGACATACACAGATATAAATCATAAATGGATCAAATGTGTGCTTTTGTTTGACAAGTATCAGCTGCTTCTGTAATACTTAGTGTATACATATAACTGTTTTTATTTTATCACCAATTCTATTCATCACGCCATCCGATAAAAATGTTTATAAGATGTGTTGAATGAATGCTCCTATTGTCTTTATATTTGTGTTTGCTGGGTCAGTGGTGTATACGTTTGTTTGTGTGTCTGTGCCTTATGAAGCTTGTCTTTAGGAAGGTTCAGGGTTTGACAGGAAAAACCAGCTCCCATACAATCTGTATCCAACAAACCAGAATGGAGGGCCTCGTCACTCCGGAAAGGAATCTTATTCTTTTCCTCAGACAATTAGACATAGGCACTGTTGAGCCATTTCAGAATATTTCAACCTTTCTGTTAACACATCAGGCACATTGAGCTTTCACTCTGTGTAATTACAAATATTTTTAATCACATACTGTTCCTGAACATAAACTCTGTATTGTACGTATAAATGTGTGTGTTCTCCTTTGAGAAACGTCTGAGACAAGAAATGTCATTGACCCTTGTTAGATTTCTTAGACAATGACTGTACTTCAGTATAACTACGCATTTATTCAGCGTCACTGATAAAGTCAGCAATTATTACACCTACTAGTTTCACAATGTGTACACATTTGTTCCTTTCCATTTGCCACCATATTAAATCATCCCAATTTTGTATTGCTCAAAATACCTTTCCCCCAGCAAGTTTCGACTGTTTGATATCCTGATCTTACTGTTCATACAGGATTGACTCAGCAAATGCGTGGCGCCAACGCAAACTTTCAGTTTGTGCAGGCTTATGTGTGTGATTAAGAGCATTTATAACCCTGTACAAAATTAATCGTTTACAACAATCTTTCCGCAAAAGGGCAACATTGGGCAAAATGCATATAATGCATCTTCTTCACTCGCTGCATATTTGACCAGAAGCAAGCAACATATATGTACTTAATTAAAGTGTGACTTCTTCATTGTTTGCAAATGTTTGCCTTGAATTCGGGCTCTTGGCTTTTGACGATAACAAATCTTTACTTCACATTATAAATTGTTAATTAAAACAGACACACCACTGGCAGCAATACTCATAATTCACCATATATTTGTTAGCTTTTGAATCAATAGCTTGGAAAGCTATTAATAGCTAATGAAGGGCCACTCAAGAATGGTCCTTTTATTCTTTCTTAAAATACCCTTATTTTAGCATTTGAAGCCAGACCACCCTATACTAATAGTTTAGTCTTAAGACAATCCAGCACCAGTGCTGCTAGGCAGCTGTCAGCATCTTATGTAGTAATGGAAAATCCTTCATGACAAATCTGGGCCACTCCTGTCTCCAGGACAGCATTGCCAAGGGAGAGCCAGTGTTGGTCACCTGAGATTTCCTTCAACCCCAACCTGTGCAACATGAGCCCAGGCCCAGGGATTGTGTCAGGGACAACGTCTCCCAGTATGCCCCACTCAGTGGGGCCTCCACTACAATTGTACAATGCCATAGAGGAGGTTGTCAATCTAAGAGGAGCTGTCACAACAATTGGAGATCTGACACAGATTTATTTTTCATGTATGAGGGATCATTGCAGACATGTTCTGCATCGACCGATTGTAACACAGCCTTTGTGGTTCCATTTGAAGCACTTTCCTTGGCTTTTTAGCTGAAATATCCCTCGGTTACGGCTATTGCTACATCAATTTTAAAAGCACAAGGCAATGATGTCATTATAATCTCAAGTTTTTCATAACTGTGATTCTACTTCAGGAAAAACCTTTATTGTGCTGTTGGTGAAAGATGGCTCACTTTGGTTCCTAAGGGATCTGACACCTGGGTCAGCAGGGGTGTTTGCCTGTTGCCACTGTATTGTTATAGTGACCCTGAAGGGGCCAGGGTGTAAGGGGATAAGGGATTGGTTTGCTCTCCCTCAAACCACACAGGACACAGGACACAGGGCTATCCATAGCCTGGGTTCTGTACAGACTGCTGAGAGGATGCAATCTGATCCACATTTGCTGGACATTGGGACACCATAGGTGCATAAAGACAGTTAGGTTAGCTGCGTTGTACATTCTGTATGGTGACCGCTATTGTGGCCATTCAAGTTAGGCTTTGAAAGATTTTAACTTTTTCCATTACTCATTCCTTAGCAGACTTATTTCTGTATTTCATACAAACTGTTGGTAATGAAATACACAATTCACTTTTTTATTTAATTTAATTAAATAGACTGCATGTGTCTTCCCAGGTTAGATGTAGAGTTTATCATCACAATCTGTAAGAATGCTATACCAAAAATTGCCTTCAAAATGCAATTTTTTCTGAAATTCTTTCTCTTCGTTGATGCTAATTAATTTTCTTTTCATCTTCATCCTTTTGGCTTTTGAAAGTGCAATAGTTACATATTTGCATAAACTGTACACCATCAAATACCTTAGAGCTGTCACATAACCGTATTGTATTTGTTAAACATCTACAGTATTGTACAGCACAATGTAGATTGCTGTGTTTCTGCTTGTCTCCCAGGTAACGGCCAATGCTCTCCTGGTAGAGAGAACTCGAGAATGTCGGCGGATACGTCAACACCTAATGGACAGACAGTTCCTCAGGGTCCTAATTCTCCCAGTGGTGAGTGTTCAATCAATAGATCCTCATTTCTGCAGTCTGCCAAGAACAACCACAGCATACAACAACACTGTTTCTCCTTTAAACATACAGTGGGGCAAAAAAGTATTTAGTCAGCCACCAATTGTGCAAGTTCTTCCACTTAAAAAGATGAGAGAGGCCTGTAATTTTCATCCTAGGTATACCTCAACTATGAGAGA